ACACAACTCAATAGATRCAAATAGCTGCTATACAGGGCGATTTGCYGAGGCATAAGGGCACATACAAATGGCCTACAAAAGGCAGCTCCTTCCATTCAGTGTGCAGACTTGGTGAGTAACTCCAGTTGCCCGGGAACCAGGAGTCAAGATCAGAACTACAGGCATCAGATATTCCATTCCAATCTTTCCAGGAAAATCATCTTTTTAAAGCTGACCTTTACTTTYATCCTTCAAAGTGTGTGAAGACAGAGGTTGGTCATGGTATGCTTTGGAGTTTAAATCTTTCAATGACAGCAATTACATGCCAGAAAATGTTGCTTTAACTTCTACTCTTCCTCCAGGCACCTGTGGACTTGGCGACTAGGAGCCTGCTTTAGAACCTCTGGATGTGGCTCTTCTTCACGGATGGAATCAGCCCACCCACCCTCCCTGGCAAACACAGCTCTGCCTCCCTGTGCGATGAACAGTTCAACGTAGGCTCACTGTTCAATGGGTCCGTTCACCCGTAAGTTTGACATGCAAATTCTGGCACTAAACCAGCAGCTCCTCTGCTCCCCAGGAAGGCCCAAGRGCAAAATAACACCATGCTTTTATTYAAATCAACATGGTCAAACTTCACTRTGGARGAGTTTTTACCAGTTAAATRAGCTTCCACTCACACCCTCTATGTGAGGACTCAGTGGTCAGGAAAAAGTCCCAGCTGAACTTTTGAAAAGCTGGAGATAACGCTGAAAGATTCTTTCCCCTGTTGGTTTTCATCATGTCAGAAAAATCTTACATTATGATGCTTACATCACAAAACAGTTTATAGACATCATTGTCACATGACAGTTAAACTGCTGTTACATCTTTAGATAACTAAGCCAAGGTAGAGCTTGTCAGCACCAAGAGAMAAGAAAATCAGGTGTGCCTCTGAAGTTTCAATTTCATGTTAAGCAAAATAAGCAGACATCCAGACCACTACATGAGGAAATTCCACATGTATCTTCTACTTCAATTTTGAATGGCTCTTCTGACATCTCTTCCAGCTAAGAAGATTAAAAAAAGACCAAATCATTTGAGATAYTGCCTTGCTTCTTGACATCAGTCTGGTGAGAYTTAACTGAAAAGAGCCTTTATATTTCTACTTTGTGTTATAGGATGGAATTCTGTTAAATTGTAATCTCTTTTGAACAATTACAGCAGTCAGTGTATTTCCCTTTACAGGCTGTTCTGCCTATATAGAGAGAGCATCCCTATAAAAATGCAGCCTCTGTACAATAAAAGGTACAGCTCAGGATTTCCCTCTGGGTCYTTGTGGCTTATGCACAGGGACATGAACTGTCAGTGGTACTTCTCACATAAATACAGTGGCTCCAGGAAGAAATGACGTCACACATTTTATAGTAAAGCAACTGCACAAAACAATTATACTCCCTAGAAGCAGTTGTGGATATGCCATAGGTAAAGACAAGAGTTGTGATCTCCTCCTCTCTTCAGTGGGATGAAGAAAATACACAAAGACTGGATTTATGTCGTCCTAATTGAGGGAAGGAATTTGCCCCCTACATTGCAGTCCTGTCTGTCTTAAGCAGTAGGGCAAAAACCTGGCTCTACTGAAGTGAACAGCATCAGGGAAATTAGTCTCAGATTTCATGATCTCCACACCAGCACACAAAGACCACTGAAATTTCCAAATTCTTACAAGTGGCTTGGCATTTTATCTCAGTTGCTGACTGCTAAACCACTGATTTCTCTACAAGAGACACGATAGATACTTATGCATCTAGAGAATACAATAGGTGCMTCTAACTTACAACAAATGAAGCATTTATGCGTTAATTGGAATTCGTAGGATTTAGACCTTAATTGGAACATCTTTCCAGCACGGTTTTCAATATGTCCTCATTGTAACAGTTTCCCAATTTAAGGCGAGAAGACAGCAGCTTTTTTTGCAAGATCATGAACACACACACACCCTACCCCAAAACCAGTGCTAACATCTGTGGCAATCATGAAATGGTGACTGGCTACATACAGGAGATTCAAAATAYACAGATCAATAATGTTCTCCTACAATTTTCACATAGAAACCTCAGATAATTTTTTCTAAACACAGTCCCTCTAGTAGCTTTTGTAATGACAGTGGGCGGGGAGACATTGCATTACACTCTTCCAGGCCATTCTGATAGCTCCACACATAATTTCCCCCCTGCCCCCCCCTGCCCCCGATTTTCAGCAAAAGTGTCATTCTTGTGCTGTTTGTGTAAGTGGACAGAATTTCAAGCATCTGCTCCCAAATGATTATAAATCAAGGAACCTTCATGCTCCATTAGCTTGAGAAGATGGTGTTATTAATGTTTGCTATTCCAGGAAGTTCACAGTAAGTGTCTAAGTGAAGACACCTCTGATGTAAGGCTTTGTTTTGTTTCTGAAAACAGCTGTGTGGGCAAGTCTTCACTCTTGCTGTTTAACGTATTTCCGAGGCTACCACTTCTAAGAAATTTCAATTATTTTCGTTAGCTTAGCAGTACCATCATTTCCTCTGTCATTCCACAGCTACACTCATTTAGCTTAAACAAATACTGGGGTCTATGAAGATGCAATACTGCTCTTACTCCTCTATTCTTTATCCAGCTTCAGAAGTCTGAAAAAGCTGGTTCAAATCTGAAACACTAAATGTGAAAATTTAAGTATTAGATCATATTACTAATGAACTTGAAACAATGTAAGAAATGAATGGGTATAGCCTGGCAGAGCTGATTTGCTCCACAGTTCAACACACTATGATTTCCTACGTGATCCTAACCAGCAGCCTTTTATTTCCACAGAAGTAGGACCAACCAACTCGCCAAGAAAAGGCGAGTCAGAGGTCTGATTAAGTGAATTTTCCGCCTGTTAGTTACTTGCCTAGGTGCACAGTGAATGCAATGCATCCCATGCATGAATACCACATAATACCAAATTTAAAGATAAGAGATCTGACTCATCACTCCACTGCACCAGTTTTATGCCTACGGGGCTCCATGTTCTTCCATGGTGACTCAGACCCAAGACTCCCCTCTCTCCAGGAAAAACATGACAAGTCATGCAGTACATGTCAGACTTACCCATCAACTATAATCCCCATTTGCACTGCAAAACTAATTGGAATTAAACATTCCATACCTCTTACATTTTGCTGTTAAGCCTAGAGATAGGAATATATATATAATTAATGTAAGAGGAGCAGTTTAAAATACAGTCCCTGGAATTAACTCTATTACACCTGGCAACACACTCAAGRAACCCCGTTTGAGAAAGCAGTCCTTGCCAAATGTTAACAGGGTCGATACGTGCACACTAAGATTAACAACATGGAATTAAGGAGAAGGAGATTAGTTACTGGAACAAAAAGTTTCTCCGGAAAAGTTCTCATTCCAAGACTGCTGCCTCCACTTTTCTAACCCAAGGCAGCTGAAACACAAGAAACTTTTTGGACATCTCTAAGGTAGGCATTGACTGTTTCTTCCAAAAGGACATGCTGTGTTTACAACAGCTATTTTTGGCTTTYGGCTATACAAATATAAAACACCATGAGGCCCATTTTCTCCTCACAGCTTCATGTCTGTATATATTCATTGATTTCAGTGCAATTATATCTGATTATTTGCCTGGAATAGAGGTTAAATCAGTGCTGACCCTTAAAGGCAATTCTGAATGGATTTATACTGGGCAAAATGTGTAAGAGGAGACAATCTATTCTACTGTCTGACAGCATACAACTGTAGAAACAAAGAAAAAAACTAATAAAGGACTAAACCTCCAAAAGCCAAACRAAAGAATTCATCCTCCACCTTGCTCTAGGCCTTAAGAGATTGGTATCCAGCAGCTTACCATAATGTACCTTGTGCTTTTTTTCTGTTTCTTAGTCTCAGGATCAGTGGGTTACTCTAGAACGCAGAGATCACTGCCACACGTTTGCTTTCAGGACTGGGTCCTGAGACACGTTGCAGAGAGAGTTGAAAACTATGATGGTCGATTCTGCACAGTTCAGCCATCCTGGACACTGGTGCACACAGGCAGTAACACACCAAAAACTGCTCGTGGAAGTGATTACACACCACTGGGGAGCCACATATACCGAGCATTACATGCATAAACCATCCACTCGCTAATGATYACAGAATGCACATGTATGTAATTTTATGTAAAAATACTACCACTGCTGCAAGTGGGTATCATCTCATTCTGACTACACTTATATCCCACTGAGAGGTCAAGCCAGGAGATGGTATTATATGTGTGACTTTCTACAGSAAGGCAAGATTTATTCTTAGGCATKCAGTTCTTTGAGTTTTAACTCTGTCTTGTGAAAAAGAAAAAATAAAATCCACATAAAACCACAAAACCGTCCACCACAATGAATACAGACTTTGAATAAATATAGGACCTTGACTGCAACAGGAGGGYGAAACCCAAAAATGTGTCAGTAGGATCATTCTCTTTTGAGGAGCAATATAAAGACATGAACTTAAAATAGACATAGCATTGGCTCTTATCTCATGCTCATGTACCCTTTGACAACTAAAAACCAAGAAGACTTAAAAATCTAGCACTTGCTACTCTTTAGTTGCCATAATTGTATTAGTCTGGTCATGTGGCATTCACAGGTGTGACACACAACCTGGTATCCAGGTAAAAGTTATGAAAACAGCTCCATAGCTAATGACAGTKTTAACCCACAGAATCCTTGCCTTTACCCCCACTATTAAAATACTTCTACATCCCAAAAACAAGGGGAGAAGCAGAGCTACAGTGTTCAGAACTGAACAGCACGTTACAAACTTCAAACACAACATAATGTATTGAAAGACTACAAGCACCAAATTTGTGATGCCACTTATTAYTTGGTGAACCTCTCCTTCTAACATCTGGGTCACCAGAAACGAACAAGGATTACCAACCAAAACTGCTTCCCACCCATGTTTAAAGTATTACTAAAGTACTACCTAAAACATCACCCATGCTGGGAAGTGGATCCAGTGAGTAAGTACCSGACTCAGCGGTCGCCAGCAGTATTTCACTTTGGGTGGTAGCTGGTCTCTAGCAYGGGAGTGTAGAACGAGCCAGTTTGGCTGCAATGACCGAGATTTTCACCGCCCAACACCAAAGTTTGCCAACGAGCCGGTGAAMGCACAGGTAAAGGCAGTCGCTGCTGCGCTGCGGGGCGCCGTCCTTTCGTCACTTTTACCTCAGCCGGCTGCAAGAGGCGACAGCAGGCGAGCAGGGCCAGCCCACCGGGTGCCCAGGTGGTCTCCAGGGCCCCCGGGACCTGCTGCATGGAGCGGCTGGGGGGGCGACCGGGAGCGAGCCCCGCCGTGCCGCATGCCTGTGCACACTCGCACGGCGGGAGCGCCTCAGCGGCGCCTGGGGACAGGCGGGAGCGCCGTGCGACCCCACCGGGGGCGGCCTGGGGAGGGTGGCGGAGAAGGGGGGGCTGTACCCCCGCCTCGCCCACCCTCCCAAGGCCGCCCCGCACCCTCGGACAACGCCGCCGATGGGGAACCCCCGGCGCCCCCCGCCCGCACGGGCACACGGCAACAGGCGGCTGCGCCCCCCGCCCGGCACCTCGCACCCGCTGCCCCGGCCGGGATCGCTACCTCGGGAAGGCTCCGTGCGCTCCCGCCGCCGCCTGCTCCCGCCGCCGCCGCCGCCGGGGCGGATCAGCTGATATTTACCTGTGAGGTAATGCACGCTCCGTAAGGTCACCGTGCACCCGCCGCCGGCACACGGTGCCAGGCAGGAGGAGGAGGAGGGACGCGCCGGGAGGAGCGGGAGTTGCTCCTGCTCCGCCGCCGCCGTGCACGGCGCCGGAGCGGGGCGGCCGCGCCGCGCAGAGGCAGAGGCGGCCGCTGCCGCTGCAGCTCCTGGCACATGCTGCAGGTGTCAGCGCAGGA